CACACACACACACACACACACACACACACACACACACACACACACACACGCACACACACACACAACACACACACACACACACACACACACACACACACACACACACCGCACACGGTGTTCAAACTTCCACACATGGAAGAATTAACATATCAAACGTGATATTTTCCACACGACCCAGTTCGAGGGATTTCACATCCGCACACGCTGTGAAACTTGCTGCGCCGCAAGATCCACAGCGTGTGCTGCGGGCTAAACGTATAAATTCCCGAACTATATACATCCCCGCCGGTCGAAGGTAGATGCCATAGTAAACGAAGTATGCGACACACTAGTCCTCCTTCCTCGCTCTTCTTGGAGTGCCACTTATCTCCCAGATGGCGTTGCCGGCGGCGACTCCACCTATCGGACACGAAACACACCGAAGGAGGTTCCTCCACCGTTGGCGCGTTAGGGCTTATCGTGAGCGATGTTGTTGCCGGATATCAACTGCGGTCTTCTCTGCCAGCATCAGTGTGGGCGCCATTGTGTTGCCACCGCTGATGGCGGGCATTACGGACGCGTCAACCACACGCAGGCCCGATATGCCCTTCACCCTGAAACACACGCGCTCACAGTTTAGTAGCAATCACGCGTTTATAGCCAGTGCCACATGTTCACAGTACCACGTGCTAACTAACAGTAACTATCACACGCTCACAGTCACGTGCTCACAGTAAGTATCACGTGCTTACAGTACCACGTGCTCACAGGAAGTACCACGTTCTCACAGCACCACGTTCTCACAGCACCACGTTCTCACAGCACCACGTTCTCACAGCACCACGTTCTCACAGCACCACGTGTTCACAGTACCACGTGCTCACAGGAAGTACCACGTTCTCACAGCACCACGTTCTCACAGCACCACGTTCTCACAGCACCACGTTCTCACAGCACCACGTTCTCACAGCACCACGTGTTCACAGCACCGCGTGTTCACAGTACCACGTGTTCACAGTACCACGTGCTCACAGTCAGTACCACGTGCTCACAGTCAGTATCACGTGCTCACAGTCACTATCACGTGCTCACAGTCAGTACCACATGCTCACACTCAGTATCGTGCGGTCACAGTAAGTACCACGTACTCACACTTAGTATCACGTACTCACAATCAGTACCACGTGTTTACAGTCAGTACCACGTGCTCACACTCAGTATCACGTGCTCACAGTCACTATCGCGCGCTCACATGTACAGTCAGTACCACGTGTTCACAGTCAGTACCACATGCTCACAGTCAGTACCACGTGTTCACAGTCAGTACCACATGCTCACAGTCAGTACCACGTGCTCGCAGTCAGTACCACGTGCCCACAGTCAGTACCACATGCTCACACTCAGTATCACGGGTTCACAGTCAGTACCACGTGTTCACAGTCAGTACCATATGCTCACAGTCAGTACCACATGCTCACACTCAGTATCACGTGCTCACAGTCAGTATCACGTGCTCGCAGTCAGTACCACATGCTCACACTCAGTATCACGTGCATACAGTCACTATCACGTGCTCACAGTAAGTACCACGTGTTCACAGTCAGTACCACGTGCTCACAGTCACTATCACGTGCTCACAGTCAGTATCGCGTACATAATATAGGATTTATTTAATAAAAATAGTTTCCCTATTGCTAATTTTCTGGCTACGAGGAATATAGAGGTGTTTGTGTCGACGTCAACGTTCTCGTATAGCTATAGCTACCTGAGCTGAGGGTCAACAACAGTCGCTGGGTCACTGGACCGGCCCATCTTACACGTCCCCGCATAATGGTACATGGTCATCGCTATGTGTTTAACTATGCAGCCATAGAGGGCGTCGGTGTCGGCAGGGTGATGGGCGCAGAGGTGAAAATCAGGTATGTGGTAAGTGGCACCAAGCGCCTGGAATGGTTGCGTCATCGCCATCTTGATCGCCAGCCTGATACCTACAGTACATAACAGAAATTACAGTGGGTAATAGAGTATAGGTCATAATAATATAATCTATTGGGGTAACAGATTTGGGTATTATATTAGGGTAGAATATGATTATAGATTAGGGTAATAGGTAGGGGATAATAGGTTAGGTAATAGATTAGGGTAAGGTAGAATAGGATTCTAGATGTGGGTAATGGATTATAATTTACGAATTGGTTATTAGCGGGAATTAAAATTTTTCGAACTTGCGTTACAAATTGGGAGTGTGTTTTTAATGAACAAGTGCTGTTTAATTGTTTTTCCATATACATACAACGTATTACCGCCAGGTCACATCTACCCTTATATCCCTCTTGCCCACCCCAAGCCGAAATAACATACTCACTGAACGACCACATGCCACGTTCCATGTCGTAAGCATTTTAACCCTGTAACCACCTCAACGAGGGAGACAATGGGTGGCCTTACCCTGTATTAGCACCTCTACGTCATGGTCGTTGTTTAGATATTGCGGATTGATGGAAGGGAACTGAAATGGATCTCTGCTGGCCAGGGTAATGTTTCCCCGGGCGTGAGCGTACACCAGCGTAGGTGCGATAAAACAGCCTTCAGCCGACGGATCGTATATGCCTGGTGCGAACCGCCTCCATGCCTGCAACAAGCGCAAATAATTTGCACACCTGGGAACGTATACACGTTACACTAACACAGACACGCAGGACGCGTGACCACGCGCATACAAATACATGCGCCTATGACATTTCTTTGTTTTATAATGTCAGGCTAACATGACATTACCATAATATCGTCATTGGCCAATTTACTTTCTCAGGTTCGATAACGTATGGTGTAGATCTAAGCATTGAGAATATAGTGTCATGACAGCATCATTACATTAGGAAAGTTTCTCTGCTCTCGCCATGTGATTCATATAATGCACGCACTATGACTCACATCATGTAGATCAAGAAGAGGAGTCAACATATTCACCACACTCTATTCAAGGAAACTAGATCTAAACACCGTACCGCAGAAACTACTGTCAGTTCCGAGTAATATTTTATGCGTGATCTCATTTCATATGATGTTGACACAGATACCTGACCATGTTTATGTGACAATTAATGCACTGATTGGACGTGCTCTGATTTATTCAATTTTGTGCCATAGTTTGTACATTATTAGCCTCGTCTACACGACGAACCTTAACTCGAGTTAAGCGTTAACTCGAGTTAGCGATTATGTAGCGTCTACACGACAACACCCGATAGCGATTATTACCGATTTATTATGCATGCGTGCGTGCGTGTGTATGTAAACGTGCGTGCGTGTGTGCGTGTGTGCGTGCGTGTGCACGTATACGTGCGTGCGTGCGTACGTGTGTACGTACAGTGCGTTCGTTCGTGCGTGCGTGCGTGCGTGTGCACGTACACGTGCGTGCATGCGTGAGTGCGTACATGTGCGTGCATGTGCACGTTCACGTGCGTGCATGAGTGTGTGCGTGCGTGTGCAAGTACACGTGCGTGCGTGCGCGCGTGCGCAGGTACACGTTCGTGCGTGCGTGCGTGCGTGTGCACGTACACGTGCGTGCATGCGTCCGTGCGTGCATGTGCACGTGCACGCGTGCGCGCGTGTGCAGGTACACGTTCGTGCGTGCGTGCGTGCGTGCGTGTGCATGTGCACGTAGGCGTCCGTGCGTGCGTGCATGCGTGTGCACGTACACGTGCGTGCGTGCGTGCATGAGTGTGTGCGTGCGTGTGCAAGTACGCGTGCGTGCGTGCGTGTGTACGTACATCGATACTAGTGCTGCCGCCTATCGTAGAGGTTAAGCTAACTCGAGTTAAGCGTCTACACGGGCCTTAACTCGAGTTAACGTAACTCGAGTTATCTTAACCTCGATCGACTGGCGAGGTTAAGCTAACTCGAGTTAACGCTAACTCGAGTTACATTAACTCGAGTTAAGATTCGTCGTGTAGACGTAGCTATAGTACGTGGTTCGTTCCAAAATGAAATATTTTGAACGAATTTTAAGGTGATTTTGTAGCATGATTGCGTTCATGCAGTGCACCGATCATGGGCGGGTTCAATGCGAAGTGCCGCCGGCGCGTATGGTTGGCCGTCGTACTCAGAAATTATTATTTTTACCGCGGTTGAAATCAATTAACCGCGGTTAAATTATGGCCCCTTTACCCAATCAGAGGCCTTGTTACACATAAGTTAACCGCGATAAAAATAATTCACCCGCGATAAAATAATGTGTAACAGGGACTGATTGGGCAAAGGGCCATAATTTATCCGCGGTTGAACTATTTCTACCGCGGTAAAAATAATTCTTTCTGAGTACGACGGCCAACTATAATACGCACCTCCTATATTTTGCAAGGCAAATTTTTTTGCCGTCGAAAGAGTTAACGTAACTTGTCTAAGGCGCTATACTCTCTTCTAATCCTGGATCCGCCACTGCAGACTAAATAGGCTGGCTCCAAAGCTCTACCTTTTGATGGAAAAGACTTACCCTCTACTGGAAGGCTCGCTACGAGCCTGATTCACTACATGGTGTGATTCTACCAGGAGGGTCATAATAATATTATAGACTCTGTACTATGACACTCCTGATTTTACTGCATACCTCTTCGCTTAATCCTGAGATAAGCTGGTACAGACGTGACGTAGAGCCGATGTTGAGAAGGTAAAGAAACAGCTCGGCCGTGGATTCATCTCCCAGCTTCACACTCCCAGCTGCTGGCATGCCCACGGACTCGGTAAGCATACCTGTAGTAACAAGATGGCGGCGTGTATCATTAGCCAATCACATCTCAGTGATAATAGCTGGGGTGTAGTTATAATTTTATATATATTATAATTATATATATTGTAAATTCTAGAGATCTCTTGTCACTGCCTTATGTGCCATCTAGGCATCTACGAGGGATAACTAACTAACTAACTAACTAACTAACTAACTAATTAACTAATTAACGAACTAACTAACTAATTAATATTTAATTATAATATATTATAATTGCATATATTATAATTATTAATATATAGATTATTAATTAGGTCTAATATATATTATGGCACTCCTGATAATATCAATGCATCTCCATCTGCATCACAGAGTTATTAATACAATAGATATTTTCCGTACTCAACAGAGCGAAGTAAGCCATTATGTCATCAGGAGTGACATAATATTGATTATGTCTATATGTCTTATGTCCCTAATCTCTTATGATTATATCTATATTATGACACTCCAGGTATAATCATATCGGGCGAATAAGACCTGAGACCTAAGCTGAGTGCTTACGATTGTCTCTGACTATATTAGGTACCTATATACCTACTATAATATATATATATATATATATATATATATTAGGTACTATATGAGGTTTCTGATATATAGTTTACCTGTGCCTAGCAGAGCGTATTTGAGTAGCTCGCTCACAGTGGTCACCTTGGCTTCGGTGAAGCTGACGCTTGTGTTGAGCGTAACTCGCACGGGAACGAACAGATGGTCCTGAAGGTTCTGTCCAACCGGCAGGTCTGCAATTACCTCGATCTGCGATCATATAAAGACATCCGTCGTTAGAGTCCCCCAGAGTTGCAGTATTCCACTTATTACGCAATTTTCCATGTATTGGTAGCTTTGAGTTAATTAAGGGTAAGTTATATTCGGTATTCTAGTATATTCTTCTATATAATCTTATATTCGTGTATTGCAGTGAGTATAGACTACCACCTCTACGCACACTAGATGGCATCTCGTCATTTTTTGCCGAAAAAACATCGTGCATATATCTATGTCTAGCAAATGTTGGTTTGACTGTTTTTTCGGCCTCAAAAAGTGCTTGAGGACGAGCAAACGATTCTTTTGAGCTACAAGGTTATTTCTGCGCAAAATGAGCATATTAGTAAGTTGGTGTTCATTAGCATTTATTTATTTCCTAAGCGTCATTGAGATACGCTATCAACACGGATTCGATCAACAAGACTTGCTTCGATACATCGTCGATGACAGTAGCATATGCGATGATCGTGCCATTAAATACAAACTCCGAGTGATTGCAGGTGTGCTCGGGGGCCTATCCCGGACAGCATCAGCAGGGTAGGCGAACCGACAGCTCCCATGGACACGATCACGTCCTTCGTTGCCATGACGACCGCCTCCTCGCCGCTCTGCGTCTGGAAGCTGACACCTGTCGCCCGCTTGCCGTCGATGTTGACCTACATCACATGTGACAAACGGTTTCACGCAACTAACGTGATTACTATCCGTGTGATATAAGTACTAGCAATAGCTAATTACTAGAAGAAGGAAATGGGGCTGGGTGGACCTCACCTCACACTGCGGAAGGAATTAGCGACCATCATAACACGGTTTCATGTAACTGACGTCATTACTATCTGTGTAATATACTAGGATGACAATCACCGACCCCACGTCATTAGCTGTTGCCATTACTTATATTACACAGATAGTAATCACGTTAGTAACGTGAAACCGTGTTATGTCGGTCGCGTCCTTCTGCAGTGTCAGCCTGTTCTGCTAGCATCTATGACAAATACCACATACGCATATACGCTCTCCTATGACACTATTTGTCATAGGAAGATTCTTCATATGACAAATATTGGCGAGTCAACTTCGTTCCACTTTACAGCTGAAATTCACTGCTTGCGTTCATAATAGCGCTCCTAAACTCCAATGATGCGCACAACACATACAACAATATTTGTCATAGAAAGAATTCCTATGACAAATAGTGTCATAGGAGAGCGTATATGCGTATGTCGTATTTGTCATAGATGCTAGCAGAACAGGCTGACACTGCGGAAGGACGCGAACGACATAGCACGGTTTCACGTTACTAACGTGATTACTATCTGTGTAATATAAGTAATGGCAACAGCTAATGACGTGGGGTCGGTGATTGTCATCCTAGTACTGCATCTGCCGCGGGGTGCCTGCATGGAGATATTACTAGACCTCCGCGCGCAGAGGCAAGCTTCGTGCTAAGGCACCCGTCAGAACGCTCTGAAACGCACGCGGAACTTTTCCGACACCACCAATCTTTTTGACGGAACACCAGGATGAGATTAGCCTCTGCGTGCAGTGGTCTAGGAATTACCCTGGTGGCTGGCTTAGCGTTAACTTAAGTCGGCTAAATACCTAACTAAACTGTAGTAACATGCAAGAACGACAGTTCATAATAGTACTTTCCACTGATCTCTCTATGTTTGTCTTCGTTTTGTACCAGCTCAACCTCTAGTAAGACTATCAATGAGAAATGTTAAATGTTTCGTAACTAATTTAATGAATCACTTTTGATTAATTAGGTCATTGATCAGCGTACCTTCGTCACGTGTGCATGTGTCATTACGTGTAGATTCGGTCTGTTCAGTGCGGGGAATAGATATCCGATACCCGCATGCCACCTTTTACCGTCTACCATCGCTGAACTCAACTGATAAAAGTCACCAATGCTGGCCCGTCCGTTAGAATACGATCTCTGCAAAAACTTTATAAAAGGAGCATTATCAAATTCTCCCCCCTATGAAAAGTCTATGTCAGTGATATGCGTATCCACGGTAACATGATTATTACATGAGCATAAATATATGGTTTATTGCTCATGATCACAACTTCTCTCTCGACAAGAAAACATATAGCTGATACAGCTATTATATGACGTTAATTGTGCTTTTAATACCAATGCAAAGTTCATCAAGATCTAGTAATACATGTATTATTACATGTATTATTACATGTATTATTACATGTATTATTAGCTCTCGATTTCATGTTTATTGTATCTGTTATGAACATATGTATTCTAGACACGCATCGACTGCATATGTTTAACACTGTAGACAAATAGAACTATTTGTACCAGGCTATATAATTGCTAATCTTGGCTGGTACTGGACCGCGAGTTGTTTATGTTTGACGGAGGGGACTGGGTGATACGCACCTTGCCAGCAGCGAGGAAGGCGTCTGTAAGTGTCTGAAAGTAGGTGGCGCTCGTTGGCGTTAACTCGATGACCTGCTCAACCTGAGATCGGAAATTATAGTAGGCCTACAGTAAGTCATTAGTTTAAACGTTCATGACAATAAATCGCTAACCACACGAAATGTACAGATAACTATGAATGTATTTACTTTTAACACGCAGTCTGTAACGGCATAGTTAATGAATTGTAAATATACGTGAATTCTTGGTTGCACAAAGTGCTTACTATGTAATATATGGTTACGCAAAATAATTAAAAAATGTTACATATATATCACATCCAACAATAACACGAGGTTTAACCAAACATTTGAACCTGTATCAGCAGCGTGTACGAAAAACGGTAGTTCTCTTGTATGATTCACGGATGATAACGCCCATGTACCTTTTCAAAGAACGGCTTCACGTCGGCATAACTCCAGCCGGTGGCGCCCCCTGCTGCCCAAGCGTCGTATGTGGTGGAGAGGCCGCGTGTGTAGAGCATGTAATTGGTGGCGCTGCTGCCTCCTAGCATCCTGCCCGCGGGCCACGCTATCTGCTGTGAGAGTGCAATACAAATAGAAAATACAGCAACAAAAAAACAATAAAGCAAAAAAGAGCAAGCAAAAGCAACAAACAAGCCTAAACTGTGACTAAACAGGCAGCCCTCTCTCGACTTCCGCCGACGCCACGCCAGAATCTGTTACTGTCTATGTATCATATCAAGATCAAGATCAAGCAACCAAGTAGACGTTGGGTACATTAAATAATATTAAGTAGACATCGAGAAATCATATTAAGTAGATATTAAGTAATCATATTATTGGCCGTAGCAATGCTGTAAGTGTTCAGCGCTAGAAAGAGCCCGTGGCAATGTCCTCGAAGAATTTTGCCGTTAGTCAACTTCGAATGGATTACATACTTTGTTAGTGAATCCGTATGCTGCCTGTGCCTGCGGCACGGTCCTGTATTGCCAGGACAGATGAGGCAGCAGCATGAGAGACGGGGTTAGAGTTGGCAGACGCGTCAACCAGCGAGTCAGCGAGTCTTCTAGCTCGCTGCCTCCCGCCTCCAGCAGTAGCACGGTGCTGTCCGAGTCCTCCGATAGACGCGCGGCCAGCACACAACCCGCCGTACCACCTCCAGCTGAGAATAAAACAATTGATCATACATAGCGTTAATTCCGGTGTTAATGAAGCGCATGTTCGAGTTTTAACATGTGGCTTAGCTTCCGCCTATTTAGTATTTTTAACTGGCCAGAAGGGATTGACGATGTTTGTAGCGTGGCATTGCAACGCTGATGTGTAAGCCACGAATTAACAAAAATACGAGTAATATGTTATATAGACTATATCATGGCACTGTCTATATTATGACACTCTATATCATGACACTGTCTATATTATGACAACTCTATATCATGGGACACTGTCAATTTGACCTCATCATACATGTCTTATTATGACACTCTATATGCATGACACTGTTCTATCATTATGACACTCTATATATCATGACACTGTCTATATTATGACACTCTATATGCATGAGCACTGTCTGATATTAGACAACTCTATATCATGCACACGTGTCTATATTATGACACTGCTCTATTATCAGTGACACTGTCATATATGACTTACAGGACACGTCTTATATTACATGCAATCATGACACTGTCTATTGATATGACACTCTATATCATGACACTGTCTATATTATGCACACTCTATTATCATGCACTGTGCTAATATTATGACATCTTTCTGACACTATATCATGACACTGTCTAATTATTATGACACTGGTACTATATTAGGGATACTGTCTATATTATGGACGCATAATGCACTGTCGCATATTATGACACTGTCTATATTATGACACGGTCCATATTAATTGGACACTGTCTATATTATGACACTCTATAATCATGGGCACTAGTCTATATTATGACACTCTATTATCATAGCACTTGTCTATATATGACAGCTCCTATATCATGACACTGTCTATATTATGACACTGTCTATACACTGTCTATATTATGACACTGTCTAATATTATGATACTGTCTATATTATGACACTGTCCATACTTATGAACACTGTCTATATTTATGACAGCTGTACATATTATGAACTGTCTTATATATGACACTCTATATATCAGTGGCACTTCTTATTATATGACACTCTATATCATGAACACTGTCTATATTATGCACACTGCTATATCATGAACACTGTCTATATTATGACACTGTCTATACCTGTCTATATTATGCACACTGTCTATATTATGACACTCTAATATGCATGGCATTTGAGCTGTCTATATTATGACACTGTCTTATTCATGACACTGTCTATATTATGACACTCATATCTATACGCACTGTTATTACACTCTTGGCATACATGTCTATATTAGTTGGAACAGCTCTGATATCATGACACTGTCATATTATGACACTGATCTATATCATGACACATGACGCTTACTATTTATGACACTGTCTATAATGCATGACACTGTCTATAATTTATGACACTCTATATCATGAGCACTGTCATATATCTATGACACTCTATATCATATACACTGCTCTATATATACAGCCAACTAGCATGAACTCTATATCGTGCATGCATTACACTGTCTTAATTATGACACTGTCTATATTATGACACTGTCGTATATCATGACACTGGTCATATATTATGACAATGTCTATATCATGAACACTGTCTATATCATGACACTGTCTATATATTATGACACTCTATATCATGACACTGTCTATATTATGACACTCTATATCATGACACTGTCTATATTATGACACTCTATATCATGACACGCTGTCTATATTATGACACTGTCTATATCATTGAGCACTGCTATATTATGACACGTCTATATCATGACACTGTCTATGATTATGACCCTGTCGTATTATTATGACGAACTGTCTATATGCAATGACACTAGTCTATATTATGACACTCTATATCGATGACACTGTCTATATTATGACACTGTCTATTCATGACACTGTCGTATATTATGACACTGTGTTTATGATTATGACACTGCTATAGTTAGAACGACTGTCTATATTATGACACTCTATATGGCATGGCCAGACTGGTCTATATTATGACACTGTCTATATCCTGACACTGTCCATATATTATGACACTGTCTATATGCATGCACACTGTCTATATTAATGAGCACTCTATATCATGACACTGTCTATATATGACAACTGTCTATACTATCCATGACACAGCTTATTAGCACACGTGTCTATATCATGACACTGTCTATATTATGACACTCTATATCATGACACTGTCTATATTATGACACTGTCTATATTATGACACTGTCTATATTATGACACTGTCTTATTTATTATGACACGTGTCTATATTATGACACTCTATATCATGGCACTGCTCATATTATGACACTGTCGTATTATCATGACACTGTCTTATAATTATGACACTCTATATCATTGGCCAGCTGTCTATATTTGACACTGCTCTATACTCATGACACTCGCTCTATATTATGAAACACTCTATATTATGACACTGTCATATTAATGACACTGTCTAATAATCATGACACTGTCTATATTATGACACTCTATATCATGACACTGTCTATATTATGACACTCTATATCATGACACTGTCTATATTATGACACTCTATATCATGACACTGTCTATATTTATGCACACTGTCTATTATCAGACAACTAGTCATATATTATGCACTCTATATCATGACACTGTCGTATATTATGACAATGTCATATCATGACACTGTCTATATTACTGACGACCTTCTATATCGATGACACTGTCGGTATATTATGACACTGTCTATATCATGACACTGTCTATATTATGACACTGTCTATATCATGACACTGTCTATATTATGACACTCTATATCATGACACTGTCTATATTATGACACTGTCTATATTATGACACTGTCGTTATAATTATGACCTGTCTATATATTATTGACACTCTATATACAGGCCACTGTCTATATTATGACACTTTCGTATATCATGACACTGTCTATATATATGACACTCTAATATCATGACACTGTCTATATTTATGACACTGTACTATAGCATGACACTGTCTATAGTTATGACACTCTATATCATTGCACTGTCTATATGTATGACACTGTCTTATAGGATATTGACCTGTTCTATATCAGGCACTGTCTATATTATGACACTCTATATCATGACACTGTCTATATTATGACACTGTCTATATTATGACACTGTCTATATCATGACACTGTCTATATTATGACACTCTATATCATGACACTGTCTATATTATGCACACTGTCTATTATTATGACACTGTCTTACATGACACTGTCTATATTAGGCACACTCTATATCGATGACACTGTCTATATTATGACACTGTCTATATTATGACACTGTCTATATTATGACACTGTCTATATCATGACACTGTCTATATTATGACACTCTATATCATGACACTGTCTATATTATGACACTGTCTATATCATGACACTGTCTATATTATGACACTGTCTATATTATGACACTGTCTATATTATGACACTGTCTATATTATGACACTGTCTATATCATGACACTGTCTATATTATCAACAGCTGTCTATATAGATTATACACTGTCTATATTATGACACTGTCTATATTATGACACTCTATATCATGGCACTGTCTATATTATGACACTGTCTATATCATGACACTGTCTATATTATGGGGGGACACTGCTTCGTAATATTATGACACTCTGTATATGGACACTTCTATATCATGACACTGTCTATATTATGACACTGTCTATATTATGAACTCTATATCATGGCACTGTCTATATTAGACACTGTCTATATCATGACACTGTCTATATTATGACACTGCCTATATCATGACACTTGTCTATATTATGACACTGTCTATATCATGACACTGTCTTATTATGGGCACACTCTATATCATGACACTGTCTATATTATACACTGTCTATATTATGCACACTGTCTATTATCATGCACACTGTCTATATTATGACACTCATATTCATGACACTGCTCTAGATTATGGAGAGAGAGAGAGAGAGAGAGAGAGAGAGAGAGAGAGAGAGAGAGGCGACCTTGTAGCTTTCTATAATTTCGTCTTGTACATGCGTAACGGACGGATTTATAGACTTCAAAATCATCATCGCCACCATCACCATCATCATCGTCATCATCATCATGAGGGGCATCATCATGACTGAGAAAATGCTATGTTGAATTTTGACATCGGTGCGCCATCTAGTGTGAAAAATAATTATAAAGCGCATAATATTATATGGAATAACACAGATGGATATATTACGGACGCAACAATTTGCCCCCCTCTTTCAAATGGTATCGCCCACAACCAGTCAAGCATGGAAAAACTTTTGCAGCGAAATGAACGTATTTCAGCCGTAACTTTTTCACCCTTCGAGGCACAAAATGTCAATTTACGCCTATAATACACGCGCACGCGTGCGTGCACCCATACCAGCGTGTGCGCGCCCGGTCGCGTGTGTGTATGTGTGTTTACGTGACTGTAATAACGCGTATTATAGCCGTATCTCCACATTTTGTGATTTTGGGGGTGAAAATGTCGAGGCTGAAAAGCAGCCATTTGCCTGGCTAACTGTTCACCATGCACCCGATGCCGTGGGCGATACTATCCGCGAGAGGGGGAGGGAAATACTGAGGGGAAGCGAGTGAGAGCACTCGCTCACCTTCTCCCTCTCCGTGACTCTCACCAAGGCCTCTCTCTCTCTCTCTCACACACGCACGCACGCACACGCACGCACGTACGTACGCACACGCACGCACGCACGCACTCTCCCCCTCTGTTTCTCTCTCGCGCAATTTTTCTCTTTCTTCGGGCGCTATGTATTGCGCCTTTAATATGCGTGCGTGCGTGCGTGCGTGCGTGTGTGCGTGCGTGTATGCGTGTGTGTGCATTTGTACGTGCGTGCTTACTTATGTGTGCGTGTTTGATCATTTAGGCCATAAGCTTCATATATTGTATTCAATATCGTTACAGTAATCTCTTTTTTTTATGTGACTCACTCTTATTATCAGACCATATTCATGATGAATGTAATTAAAGGAAAACACGATTTACACGTTTATTGATAAAGAAGCAGGGTTTATTACAGACGTCTAATCAACATCCAGCACGTACATGTGAAAATAGCTCGCCCACCTAAAATGAAGACGTCATCAGTGCTCATTATAATTATCAATTATATATTAAATTTTTATATAAACAGCATACTCAGATACATTATTCCTAATGACACTCCCCGCTATGGACATCTGATATTAATATATGCATATCGAGATGTGCGTCATTAGGAACATATTAGTCTTCATAAAATTATATATTGTTCGTAATGTAACTGATATATTCTTCTTGATGGGCTTTATCGTGCAAATGTGGCCTGAAAACCAAAAGGAGAAACTAGAAGGTAATTGTCATTTTACACTGAGCATGGAGATTATTGTATATACCTTGCATTACATCTCTAAGATATCAAACAAGAATTAAGAGCAACCTGGCAACGAGTCCTGCGGGAGAGGTGATGTGACTCACAGGTCACTACGTTGCCAGGCAATAGGTTGTCGTACCACCACCGCTTACGCAAAGAGGACATGCGCCATCATATATACGAATAACTTAATTTATATAATTAACGTTACCATGCACTTATTCATAATTATAGCTACTATATACATTTATTGCATATATATATATACATTCTCATGTACGTTCAATGAGTTATTAATATTCTGTACAGTTGGCCAAAAATAGCGACACGCAATAATGCAAATAATAAGGCAAATAAAACACACGCACACACATATACATACACTTGTATATACATTCTTTATAACAGTTTAACAACAGTTTCTTTGTATCGCAAATACATGATCAAGGGCCATAAACAAAGATCACCTACATCAAATAAAACCACAAACAGGCATCACAGTCACCCCCCCCCCACACACACACAAAAATATACACGTATGCGAAGATTCAAGTGAATCTATTTTCATTACTGGGTATAGTTAGAACTCCATGTTATTATTAGCACGTGTATAATGCAAACAGAAACAAAATCGTGACTGTATCGAATTCGTGTGATGCTAATTTGCTAGAGTAGCGCCATATCTTGTGCATCCCTCCCTCACTCTATTCTCACTCTACACATGGGTGATAATGCCGAATAGTATAACCTAGTATTCGGGTTGCACCAGCGTGCTGGAGTAAGCGCCATGTTTTCTGCATTCTTCACACTATGCTCTCCCTGCACATGGGTGGTAATGCCGAATACTATAACCTAGAATTCGGGTCCCATCAGCATGCTAGAGTAAGCGCCATGTTTCCTTCCTTCATTCTTCACACTATGCTCTCCTGCATGTGGGTGACGTTGTCAAACAACGCTGCGTAGAACTCCGGCCCGGCCAGCTTGCTGCGGTAGCGCAAGGCGATTTCCTGTATCTTCAGTCTCCGCTTCACGTGAGGCGGCTGATACCTGGCAGGTAAATCAGATGCTGATTAGTGAAGCTACCTAGCACAGATGATGTAGGCACAGATATCAGCTATCGGATACAGACGGTGCAAGGATTGGTTTGCTTGAGGCATTCAATTAGTGACAAGAGACAGAGAGAAGGAGAAAGAGGGTTTCGAGTATCCAACGATTCCAGGGTAAACCTTCAGGGACCTACATCTTCATAAGCCATATAATAATATAGTAATATCAATAGCAATTGTTAAGAATACGCTACCTGTGTAATTGAAATAGAAAAGAAAGTGCTGGGATAGAAGATTATGGTAGCTTGACAGACAAAGGTCACAGAGTTGGAAGAAGGCAATCAACTACGCTAACTTAATTTACACTAAATTACGAATTATTTTAATTATTAATTGATAGCTATCACATTCATAATTATAAATAATTCAACACACAAATAGAATCGAAATATGGCCGCTGTTCTGATTCCGAAAAAAAACAAAAACAATGAGACAAAACTACCAACAATAGAAGCACAATTCGTTCGCAAGTATCTCACTGCAAAAAGCAGAACATTTAACAAAAAAACTCGGCTAGTCATTCTAACACGTTCATCCACTCAAAAAACTAGAGAGACTTTAGTCAACCCACGACGGCGAATACCGCATACTCACATGTCACTGTCGAGGCGACGCCGGCGGTGCATGTTCACTGTCGTCTGCCGAACGAGCATGCCCAGAGTTCGCCTGCTTACGAGCATGCCGTCAACTAGTGGCGTTGCCATGGAGATCCTGAAACACACGTGTGCACATGGATGATGCTCGTGAAAGGTTGGGGCATCATCAGAGAGCGGACATATTGGCGGACGTTAAGATTTAGAGATATAGATTTTTGAGACATTGGGAGTGTTGCTTTTTCTCTTCTCTTCAGGTCAGACGATACAGACTACAATCTACGTTCCTTACATAAGCATGATGTGCCTTCTGGCTTCTTCAAGAAGGCTTGTACTTCATATAGAACCACATTGTACACCAGTAGAAAGGTACACTGATGGAGTTTCAACAATTGTTCGATTTTTATTCAACCGGCGTTCAAAGACACCAACGTTTCTTTGACAGACGGTCAGATCCCACTCACATATACCATACTGGATCAGTAGACTCCCCCCACGACTTTTACGAGTGTAGCAGACTGCTGCCTTCACCACATGACCTTCACCGATCTAACCGACTCCCTCCCCTCCAACAACTTTCATTTATCTAGGAAACTCCATCTCCCGTATAACGTTCGTGGGTTACCGTGCGACCCCTGCGTTACCTCACCTGCTCCTACATGACCTTTATCAGTGTAGCATAACCTCTGCCCCTACACGACCTTCATGGGTCAGCGTGCCCCTCTACCCCTACACGACCTTCGTGGGTCAGCGTGCCCCTCTACCCCTACACGACCTTCTATGACACTGTCTATATTATGACACTGTCTATATTATGACACTGTCTATATTATGACACTGTCTTTATTATGACACTGTCTATATTATGATACTCCTGTTGTTACGATGTTGTTTCAAGGGAGTTCTATATAATGTTGATGTCGGTGGAGATGATCTTTGCATCTTTGCATGGCGATAGGTTGTTACCAATAACATAGTCGCAGTCTGTACGGATATCAGCGGGCGATTTGCGTAGATACAATACTGGGCTATCGCGTTGATATTACACGTATATACTGGGGTTTTATACTATGTTGATAAAGATGGAGATTTTTGCATAGCGATGGGTTCTTACCAATAACATAGTCGTAGTCTGTACGGAGCTCAGCGGTGGTTTTGCGCAGATAGGATGCTGGGGTATCGCGTTGATATGACACGTATATACCTAAACGGAAATCGGCATATTATTCCAACAACATATTGCTATCTAGTGCCGCTACTATTACGTGTTGATTACAACGTGTACAGACTACATAATAACCACGACAACCAGCACCTTAATAACAACTACGTGAAAACACAATAAATCAAGTGTAGAAAATAGGAAATATCCCCTATGATAACAAGATAGGGTAAATGATCTAATCCTGAATGGATGTAGTATAATAGCACGCGGTGAATAAAAGTAAATTTCCTCTATGATATCAAGAGGCGGTAAATGATCTAAACGTATATAAAGCGTTTCGTAACGCGAATAGCATTAAATACTCTCGCATGTTCAACGTGAACTCCGACATAAAAACGATGATATTTTATTGGAACGAATTTTGACGGGATGTCTGCGCTTATAATAGAGTAGGTTAGCATTCCTAGGTGAGGTATTCATCCTTCCCTGATGTTATCTGTTCCTATACATGCCTGACCCGACTGCACAAACCAAGTGAGCAGATTTTACAGCCATGCGTTGCTGCTTTACTCGGACCTTGGATCGGACAATCATCACAAGAAAAATGACAAAGAAGCAGATAGAAGGCGCTTAATAGTTCCGCACTGGGATGACACGACTAATTCTTCCCAGGCTCACAGCGCATCAAAACCGGTTGGACCATCTACTACATCACGCAGCGCGACATATCAGACGAACAAAGGAATTAAACAGTGCTTTGCCAAATTCCTGTACGAATCAAATGTGTTTTTTTTTGGGGGGGGGGTTGTCAGAGATCGCTACTATATAGTTATATAATCGTTGGTATAATTAATATCTTAGCAAATCGCTTTGTGATATTTTAAGCATAGGATGTTTTCTAGTCCGTTAAAAAAAACTTACATGCAAGCGCAAAACTCTGAATAATACGGATTAAAATATACGGAACATTTTTATGACCCATTTGCTATAAATACCTTTCAACCACCTTTCCTTCTTATAGCGATTGATTTACGATACATATGAACATTACATATACAATATATAGATACTACATGTATGTACACTACATATATATATGTATATACATATATATATATATATATTATATACTATGTATGCTTACTAGATTACACTGGAGCAACTAAACACACGCACATCACACACACACAACACATCACACACACAACACACCACACCACACCACATCACACACACGACAGCCACGCCACCAATCACACACACAACACACGACGCACGAACAACGCACACCGAACACTGTACCGTATGCGCTTTTATCTATGTTCCTATCATTACCTGCAAGAGCGACGAGTAGCGTAGTCACTAAGGCAATTAACCACGGACTGGCCATCAATGTCTTCGCTGTAGTGTCCAAACGTTAGTGCACACGACGTGGTCACCTCTAGTAGCGTAGATCGTAGCAGGACTGCTTCGCATGCGATGCTACACAGTAACTTGCAGTATTCTTAGCGTTCGTTCCACAACCTTGAACACGATCCCACGTAAACAAACCGAGATGTTATAGAAAGCTGACAACCAGCGAGGAGGAGGAGGAGACACCGTGCAGTGCCTGTCATCGGCACGAACTGGCAAATGCGTCGTATCTATTTTAAGGGGAAAAGCTATGAATACACTCATGTAGATTATGATGCAGATTCACGCTACATATGACGAATCACACGTAAAACGCGGCTGCCTATATGGCTCTCCGTGTGATTCCTGTACTATTATTTCTGGCCTGGGGAAATAAACCGTTCCGGAATGTATTATCTGGGCTGGGATGTGGAGGTATCTGGGGTGTGGTCCGGAGAGGGAGAGAGAGAGAATGAGAGAGAGAGAAAGAGAGAGGGTGAAAGCGAGAGAAAGAAAGAGAGAGAGAGAGAAGGGGGGAAGAAAGAGAGAGAGAGCGCGCGAGAAAGAAGAGAAGAAGGGGAGAGAGAGCGGAGAGAGAGGGAGAAGGGGAGAGGAGAGAGAGAAGGGCAAACAAGAAAGGGAGAAGAGAATGAGTAGAGAGGAGAGAGAGAGAGAGAGAGAGGAGAGAGAGAGAGAGAGAGAAGAGAGAGAAGAGGAAGAGAGAGAGGGAGAGAGGGGGAAGAAAGAAAGAGAGAGAGAGAATGAGAGAGAGAGAGAGAGAGATAGAAGAGGAGAGAGAGGAGAGGGAAAGAGGAGAAAGAGGAGAGGAAGCAAGAAGAGAGAGAGAGAGAGAGAGAGAGAGAGCGAGCGAGAGAGGAGAAGAGAGAGAGGAGAGAGAGAGAGAGAGAGAGAGAGAGCGAGCGAGGTGGAGAGCGGAGCGAGAGAGACGCTTGGCGAGACTCGGATGCGGCGAGAGAGAGAGAGAGAGAGAGAGAGAAGAGAGGGGGGGTGGAAGAAAAGAAGAGAGAGCAAGAAGAAGAAGAGGAGAGGGGGAGAGAGAGAGAGAGAGAGAGAGAGAGAGAGAGAGGATAGAGAGAGAGGGGGGCGGGAGAAAAGAGGAGAGGAATGAGAGAGAGAGAGGAGGAGGAGGGAGAGAGAGATGAGAGAAGGGCGGACTTGTAGCTTTCTTTAATTTGTCTTGTAATATGGTAACGGACGGATTTATAGACTTCAAATATCTCGCACATTCCATCATATCGTCATATATCATGAGGGCACAATGACACCCGACTGATAAATGCTAGTGTTGAATTTGAATCGGTGCGGCATCTAGTTGTAAATAATTATAAAGCGCATAATATTAATGGAATAACGATTGATATTTACGGAGTCAACATTTGCCCTCTCTTTCAAATGTATCGCCACAACCAGTCAGATGGAAAACTTTTGCCAGCAAAATGAACCGTATTTCGCCGTAACTTTTTCACCTTCGGCACAAAATTTCAGTTTACACTATAATACAAGTGTACGTGTGCGCGCCGGGTGGCGTGTGTCTGTGTGTTAGTGACGTAATAACGCGTTCTTAGCGTATCTCCAATTTTGTGATTGGGGAGTGAAATGTCGAGTGAAAAGCAGCCATTGCCTGGTAGACTGATTCACCATGCACCGATGCCGTGGGCGTACTATCGCGAGAGGGGGAAGAAGGAAATGCTGAGGAATCGAGTGAGAGCATCGCTCCCTCTCCTTCCGTGACTCGCTGCCACACCAGCACGCGCACGCACGCACGCCACGCACGCACGCATCTCCCTTTTGTTTTCTCGCGCGCGCATTTTTGCTCTTTCTATGGTCGGGCTTTATTGCGCATATATAATTTGCGTGCATGCGTGCGTGCGTGCTGGTCTTGCGTGTGTGTGGCATTTGTACGTGCTGTGTTACTATGGGGCGTGTTGATTCATTTATGGCTAGCTTCATATATTAGTATTCGATTATGTTTCAGTATCTTTTTTTTATGTAATTCACCCTTATATCAGTTCATATATCGCTTTTTCAGACCGATTCATGATATGTAATTCAGA